GTCGGACTGTAAGAGGCTGTGAGCTTCTTAGAAATGTGTGAGGAGATGGAAGCGCTCTCACAGGCTAATGGCAGCTTAATGACCAACGAGTTGCTTTACATTTCACCAATGACAATGTGTGAATTCCTCTGACCTGTCACACATGTTTAAGGCCTTCCTTTCCTTTAAAAACCCTGTATTATTTTAGTTTATACCCTATTGAACCTGTGTCCTTTCACTGTCATTTGCAAGCGCCCCAAACTCTTAAAATGTTTTTTTTTATGACCTAAAATTGAGGAGAGGTTCAACCTTCTTTTAAATATTACCAAGTTGAGTTTTGTTTCAAACATACTATGATCTACATACCCTTGCTTATTAATTATTTGTATCAACATTCTGAGGTAAAACGTCTTAATATGGATGCCATGTTGTCACTGCACAGACTCTCCATTTTAAACACAATCACTTCTGAGTGAATGCACAAAAGGCTAGCAGCCTTCTCTCTGTGTATCAGCACCGTCTGTCTAATGGCGCGTTTCCACTGCAGGCCTCGCTCGGCCTCGCTCGGTTTGGTTAGGCCTTATTAGGCCCGGCTCACTTTAATGCTGCGCTTCCATTACAGTTTAGGAACTGGGGTAGTTACTATAGTAACGCAGTGTAGGCGGAGCCGTGACGTCATCTTCAATGAGCGCCCCAGAAAAACAACATAGCCGTTAGCTCTTAGCACTCAGAGCTCACAGCTCCTCATATCTGTTCAGAAACTAGACAAAAGTTAAACAAGTACAAACCACAGACTGCCTGTGTCATGGCGAATACAGTCGCTGGTTTATTTATGTCTGTATAGGCCGTTGTTGTGAGTGTGGACGGTCGGAGCATATATAACGTTAGCTTAGCCCAGCTCCATTTAGAAAACACGCATTTTAAAAGGGTTTTTCGCCTGCCGTCTGTCTGCAGACTTGTCAAAGCATTAATTCATGGTTTTTACTAACCGGTATCAGTATGTTGTTACTTCGGCATCATTTTGAAACGTGTATTACAATTAAATCACGGTCAAATGTGTTCATCTTGTTGTAGTTGTAGCCCCTTTGCCAGCGATTCTCTCTCTAGTTTAGCATACTCAGCCTGGCTCAGCCTGGTTGTTCCTGGCCCTAGAACCACGATTTTATGGGGCCAGAAAAACTGTGAATTAGGACCCGCTAGCCGGTACTAGGCCAAGTGGAAACGCAACCAAAAACGGGCCCCGCACGGCTCGGCACGCTTAAAGCGAGCTACCCGCTGTAGTGGAAACGCGCCATAAGTGTTGCTCATTCATTTGAATGACAGTAAAGTCAATGACACTGAACGGCAGACACAGTAGGAAGGTGGATCTTCTGTGAATGACAGGGAGGACATCAGCAATTATTACAGATGCCCTGAGATGGAGCTGTCGAGCGACGGACAGCTGTCAGGCTGCTGAGTCGGCACTCCTCCCATCATGTGACTTTGGGATTAGAGTGTAGTGGCATGCGAATGTGCTGCAGCGCTGCATGTTCTCAGAGTGCAGCACTCTGTTTTGAAATGTGATCACAGAGGACTCGGCGGCTCAGCACTTTACTGGATTTCTGCTAAATGTGTGATTGAGGGAAGTCGCTATGAAGACAGCTACTCGATGATGTGTAAAACGTTTTTTTGTGTCTCTTCCCCCCCCCCCCCCCCCCCCCCCCCCCCCCCCTCAGCCCGGGGCCAGCCTGGAGCAGACCCACATTTTTGTTCTTGCACACATTCTTCGCAGACCCATCATAGTCTACGGAGTGAAATACTACAAAAGTTTCCGTGGGGAAACGTTAGGATACACTCGATTTCAAGGTGAGAGTTTCAAATAAATGTTTGTCACTGTTTCTTCCACTTTCTGGTGACACCTATGGAAATAAGTGCTCATTGGCGGTGTGCATCTCACTTCCCTGAGATCTGAACAGTAACAGCTACTTTCTAATAATGCAAATGTTCAACAGACATTTATTTAATGCAAATCTTTGACATTACTGCTTTAAAGCAAGTTTTATCTTTGAACTAGTGACGTCTAGCCCTGCAGGCAGTGTGGTTTTGAATGTTCTGTTCACAAAGAGTTTTCATTGAAACCACTTCTGCTAATGAAACAATGATAGTCCCCATGACAACGGACCACAATTAGATTTTTCACTTCTACCAGCTCCACAAATGAAATTCCAGCGACCTTTTGTTATAGTGGAGAGCAGGCAAGAGCAGGGTACCTCTAAAGGTCACCAAGATTTGTAGTATTACCTTGAGGTTATATGGGGTTACTCGGTGTACTGACTGTTTTAATAAAGACACACTACAGCAGGGCAGGGGGTTGGCAGCAGCACAAACTGGAGCTGTTTGTTAAAGGAAGCACAGCTGGGGTGCTGAGTCGCTGCGTAACACACAACATCTCTACCTCAGTCCGTCTGTTGTGCTGCTTTTCATTTTGATAAATAAAAGAACCTCTCTTTAATCAGAAAGGTAGATTTAAATGTGCAACCTGACTGCTCATGCTAACCAGAGAGACTGTGGTTTGCTCTAGTCCACATTGAACATTGTGTAGTGTGTGTAGTGTGTGTTCTGAGCAGCTGAGCACCAGCACACAGCGGCTCCCTGCTCTCGATGCCCCGGTTGTTTCCAGTCAGATGAAGCGCAGCCTCTTCTGATCTCGGGTCGGATGAACTCTGACATCCACACAGTCACAGAGAGCTTCCAGCTGATCCACTGTTTAGATACCTGCCTCTGACCTGCTGTGTGTGTGTGTGTGTGTGTAGGTGTGTATCTGCCTCTGCTATGGGAGCAGAGCTTCTGCTGGAAGAGCCCCATCGCCCTGGGATACACGCGGGGCCACTTCTCGGCCCTGGTGGCCATGGAGAACGACGGCTACGACAATCGCGGTGCGGGCGCCAACCTCAACACCGACGACGACGTCACGGTAACGCTGCTGCCGCTGGTGGACAGCGAGAGGAAGCTGCTGCACGTCCACTTCCTGTCTGCTCAAGAGGTAGGGACTGATGTGAATGTGTATTATATGCAATCCTAATGTGTATTTTCTACCACAAAATAATTTGGTGTTCTACTATTTTAAAAGCATATTCAAGGTTCAAGGCTTTTATTGGTCATACGTACATAGCTACAGTGTAGTTATGACGATGAGAATCTTAGGTCACAGTACATAGTATAGGAACGTTTGAACAGATACTACACATGTTAATGAAAGCATGAATAGGTGCCGATTTGTTTTATTCTTACTTGCAAGTCACCGGTCAGTGTTTTCATCCGGCAGAAAACAAAGCACAGTTGTGGATATCAAATCTGAGTGAAACCCCTTTTAAACCAATGGGCTCCTTTTAACAAAATATTGAGCATTTATGGATAAAAGTTGCTTTCAAAAACAGAAATAAGAATAAAATCAATAAGCATTATGTACAGCTTATGGTTTCAGGTTACCACAAATCGTTCCCAGCCCTCAGTGAAGTTTGGGTTTGTAAAGCCTGACTGTGATCACCAGTTTAAACATGTCCTAACAAATGAACTGCGTGTGTGTGTGTGTGTTTCTGTGTGTGTGTGTTTCTGTGTGTGTGCCTCAGATGGGCAACGAGGAGCAGCAGGAGAAGCTGCTGAGGGAGTGGCTGGACTGCTGCGTGACAGAAGGAGGGATGCTGGCCGCCATGCAGAAGAGCTCTCGCCGGCGTAACCACCCTCTGGTCACCCAGATGGTGGAGAAGTGGCTGGACAGATACCGCCAGATCCGCCCCTGTGCCTCCCTGTCCGACGGAGAGGAAGAGGAGGACGAAGACGAGGAGGAACACAGCTCTTTAATCTGAGACTGGACACTGTAGGCTCTGGGAGAGTTCCTACCTTACTATCTGTTTTTTTTTCTTTCTTTCTCCAACATGTAAATCTTGAACTTGTAATAATGCATGTGATGTGTGAGCTCCGTGGTGGAAAACAAAAGAAGAAGAGATACCAGCACCGTGATTACAGCTCCTATGAAAGCACATCAAGTCCACTTAGTTTGCCTTTAAGATTTCTCCTTATTTGTTAATTAAGTTCTAATCACACCTGACAGAAATACTAAGACATATAGAAACTGTATTTAAGGAAATCCTGAAGCTGCACTAGAAGAGACATTTCATTTACAGAACTGCCTGTTGCTTCAACGGAGAGGATGCTGATGGCTGTGTGTATGTTGAGGTTTAAAGAGCACCTGTTTTTCTTTCTTCTGATCCCTCTGCAAACCCCTTCTGATATTTTTGGATATATTTATTTGTTTAGGAGATTAAGCGTGCGGAGGCGATACCTTTTTTTGTTTTGTTCCGCTCCGTTTTATCCGTGTTCCGTTTGATCCGTTTAGTCTTGAAGTATTTTATTTTGCACAGATGAAAACCTACATTCTGTGAGGGGGGGGGGAAGGACGTACAAGTTAACTGACATTTTTACGTGTGATTTAGTAGCTCTTTGTCATGTTAGAGTTGGTGGTGGTGATGCCGGTGGGGAAAAGAAAACCAAACACTCTTTCTAGAGTGCATTCATATTAAATTTGACTCACTTGCATCCTCTTTTTTGCCCTTGTTGGTTTCTTCTTGCCTCTAACTGAAATAACTCAAACATACTCTGATGGATGGACATGTTTTTATGTCTAAATCTAGCCCAAATTAATGAAAGAAGTCAAAGTAGAAGCCGAAAGCTCCCAGAAAACAACGATACCGGAACTACAGTGAGCTTTTAATAAACAAAAGGACTCAAATGTAGGTAGTTATCGGCCTTAAAAGATTACATTTTACCCGTGAGACCCAACCCTTTGTTGGTTTTTAATTTAATCATCCGGATGGTGTCACTTGCTGCATTTCTTTGTTATTGGGACTTATTTTGGTGCCCCCCCTGTGACAAAGGATAAAACGAGACATCTTGTAAGAGTTTGTTAAAGGAACACATTATCAGGATATTCTCTTAAGTATACAGGACAAAGTGTTCCAAATCATTCTGGTACAGACAGCTGGTTCTCAGAATCATCTTTTATTTGAACTGCACTGAATGCTAAATGTTCACCTTGTACAAGAAACAAATACAAATACTCACACTAAAAACAAAAACATACTGCTGGCTGCCTCTTGCTATTGTTGGGACACTAAGTAGGAGTTTCTGCTATTGCTCTTACAGAGGACGCCCCAAAGAACCTGGCCTTCAATAGAACAAAGAAAATATAAGAAAGAGGGGGGGGGGGGGTGGATCACATAGGACTATGGTTATAGGAACATTTAACTAGGCAATACAAATCTAACAGGACTCTTCAAAACTCTTTAACACCAAAACCAGGGATGCGCCTTGTATATAAAAATACCACAATGGAGGGGGGGGAGAGAGAGGGATATCCAGACTAAACAGATTTAGTCTCATCTTTTTTTTTCTCAAAGACAACATTCTGGGAATAAACAATATCAGCAAAAAAGTGTTTTCCTGAGTCATTAAGAAATGAAGTTTGCTTTAACCCTTTCCTGTCTTCAGTGTGAAATGTGCTCAAAGAAGGGAGCATGGTCTCATCTGTGCACCGATGCCGATGATCTGTAATATCCGTCCATTCAGCAGAAGAATCGGATGCAGTCAGTCACGCCAAACTTGAGTCTTTTTTTATGATATAAAAAAAAAGTCCTTCATCAGAGTCACACTGACTCTAAACTAAAGACAAAAGTGAAATACTTAGCTGGCAGCTCCTCTAATCCATGTAATCTCAAAACTCAGCTACATTCAAATGTACAGTGAATGTTTGTTTAATGTAACTGCTAACGGGTGCGCAGAAATCCCTCAAGTGTAGAAGTGCCCTCCAGTGGTGACATCTTGTAACTGCAGCAGCTGTCATGTCTTATTGCCAGGAAAGGGTTAAAACCCACTCTAGATTACTAAATCGTGTCCTTTTGTTTGACGAATGATAAATATATATAGTCATTAATCCATTTTTAGTCATTCACACTGAAGATTGAAAGAACAAAATAATTCTTCAGAGGCATAATGAGGGGCCTAAACAACACATTAGTTACATAAGGAGGGTCGGAGAGGTGGGGAGGATCAGGGGGCGGTTGGGAAGGGAGGGAGGGGGTTAAGGTCCAGTAGCACATGATGCCAGAGTTTTTTCTCTTGAGTGTGTTGAGATGAGGGCCTACGTTTCCCATGAGCTCTGAGGTGGAGACGGGGCGGGGACAGAGTCTCAGTCGGGTAATCCCGGAGCGCTAAAAACACTGGACTCTGTGTCCACAATCATAGGCATGTCCCGAAGAAAAAAAAACAACGAAAAAACCCATCATCATCATCGAAGAGTAAAGTCGGTACTGAACCCCAAGAGACAGAGAGTAAAAACTAAAACGTTAAAAGTACAAATTCCCCCGGAACACTTCCTTTGTTCCCAGTTGCTGGCTGGTTTAACAGGCAGCCACGTGTGTCGTTTCACTGTCTCTTGGTCCCAGTTGGTCGGTTGCGTTGTGATTGGTTGTTGGAACCCTTCTGCTGCTATTGCTCGGTGAGGTGCTCTCTGGTCTCGCCGTGTTTGGAGGGCTGGTTGGGCGACGGGGCCTGGGAGGGGTGTGTACCGGAGGGCAGGGAGTGGGCGATGGGCACCCCCCCCGGCACCATGCCCTCTAACGCCCCTGGCATGCCACCCGGAGCCACTCCAACTACGCCCGGCGGGTATCTGCGGGGGGGCAAGGTGAGAGGTTAGTGTCACAAAAAATATGTGAATCCAAGAGGGGGGAAGGAAGGACTCACAGGGGGAATAGCCCACACTTCGTGAAGGATACTCTGAGTAAACCTCACACTGATTCTACTGGCTCTTTTTCACCAAAGGAAACTACACAGGAAACATGTAAGAAATGTTAGTTTAGGAAAAGGATTACAAATGTTTAATAAAAAGTCATGGTATAGGGAGTCGCAGAAAAGTAATTGTAATATATGTCGTAAATAAAATGTAAAGCATTACATGTCATAAAAAGACAAACTTTAGTAGGCCTATGTCGTAAAAAAAAAAAAGGTCATAGCCAAAAATATTAGAAAAACGACAAATATCTGAAAAAGTCTATAGTTTTTCAAAAAGAAAAAACATATTATAGTATGTGGAAAACATTTCTTATTATAATATTTTGTATGTCAGAAATTCAGAAAAACGACATGGTATAGTCAACAACAAAAAAATAGGTTAGTATATCGAAAATATAAAAAAGTCTCAATTAGAATTTAGAAAATATCAGAAAAAACCTCAGCGTATATGGTATGTCGTAGGACATGAAGTGATTTTAGTTCCTGGGACTTTTTTGATGGAAAAGAGCCATTATGTTAAATTCTGTAAGGAAACTTGAAGGCAAATCCTCATAATATGGAGCCCCAGAAGGTTCATGGTCGGACCTCACAATACAGTTGCCATTCCTTCTGACCCATAGAACAAGCCTAATCTTTTTCTTATAATATATAGTATAATGTTTGTGTCTGTGCAGCATTAGGCTCACTTCTGTACCACTGTGGCAGGAAGACTAGCGTGAGTTTATAGCTGTTCTTATCCTCCTTAACCTATTGCAAAGTCATGCAGAATAACTGAGAAATACAATCCCACCCTGACCCCCGGGGGGCTCCGTACAATAACCACTCAACCAAACAGGAGGGGAAACACACAATAGAGTTGTGAGAAGTGAAATCCAACACATTGCCCCAAAAACCCATAAGAAGCAGGAAGCATGACTCCATGAAACTGTCCCTGAATAGCTCTGTCATGCTTCCTGCACACTCAAAGCTTCCTCTGCCAGCCATCTCTACTGAGTCAGTCAAACAGGTGAGTACTAGGGGATTCTAGAAGGAACACACATCAGATCAGAGAGGGTCTTATCCGGGACCTCCAGACTGAGGCTGTGGCCCCGGACGGTTGTATTTACCTGCTCCTGATCTAGGCAATAATTTTGTCTTGGGGGACACCGGCTGTTATGCCCGAAACAGTTTGGTTCACTTGGCTGCGTGAAAAGAAGCACATGGAGGCGGACATGCTGAGATCAGGAAGAGCCGGCAGGTGTGCAAAGAAAGACCTTTCTACTCCTACAGGGGACAGTTAGCAGGGGGGAGGGGGGGGGGGGGGGGGGCACTACCAACTACTGCAGGGCTTCATTAATAACTTGACCAGTCCAATATAAGGAAATAGATTATAAAACAGTAAATATAGGGGAATATACAAGTTTTTTTTTAGGAATTTCTCATTAAGTTAGCATTCAAATAAAAGTAATTGGGACAGAAATAGCAATTACAACTCCTTTTATCACTAATCTATCATTAATGACCTCATTCTGTGTACTTTATCACAATCCCCTTTGTTTTTGACCGATGAATGAATACGTTAAAATAAATCACCTACATGGGTACAGAATACTTAAATATCATATAAAATGTACTGAGTTATAAAAACACAACTAAAGGATAGTAGCAGTTTGTCTCTGAAATAAGATCAGATAAATAAGATAAGAGGTACATTATTGGTCCCAAATTGGGAAATGTTTGCGTTGCAGCAGCATACAAAAACACAAAACAAGGCATTGCACAATAGAATAAATGAGAGAGTAGAATATAAACAATACTAGCATTTAAACATCTCAAAATAGAATTAAAACAGCATTAAATAAAAAAGGGGTGTATCTGTCAGACCCCTCCAGTCCCTACCTGTAGGCGGCGCCGTTGAGCTCAGGGTGAACGCCCGGCTGATCCATAACGGCCCAGGGTGCCGTGGTGACAAAGAACTCCTTGTTGACGCAGTTTCTTAAGCTGTCGGGGATACGGCCTGTCATAAGAACACACACACACACACACACACACACACACACACACACACACACACACACACACACACACACACACACACACACACACACACACACACACACACACACACACACACACACACACACAACACACACACCACACACACACACACACACACACACACACACACACACACACACACACACACACACACACACACACACACACACACACACACACACACACACACACACACACACACACACACACACACACACACACACACACACACACACAGTTAAAAGCTACAATCACACACTAACAGACTTCCTACAGTGAAGTGTTAATGAGTTCAGACTGACAAACATATCAGGCTTGGATACACAAATGCAAATTAAGATCATTTAACGACGTGGATGTTTTTCCGCTGGGCTCTGTTCTGCGTCGGGGAGCTAATGATGACATCTATTAAGAGGTCCAGATTTAATAAAGGCTGCCCGGGACCTATTGAAGTGGAAATGTGACATCTGGGAAAGAAGGACGTGCAACAGGTCACAGAGTAGGTGGAGGCGGGGGGGGGGGGGGGGGGGGGGGAAGAAGGGGTTTTATTGCTGGTTTTGTCAGATGTTGAGAATGAGCAAAAGCAGATTTTGAAACGTACCGGTGACGGCTCTCCGGATCTCGGTGGCCGCGGCCTCCCTCATCTCCAGAGACGCCTGCTCGCTGTACCACGCTGTGTGCGGCGTGCAGATCAGGTTGGGGGCGTCTTTCAGGGAGCCCTGAGAAAAACTGCAACACACAGGGGAAGAAAAAAGGAGAACGATTCAAAAAACGACTTAGGAATTGAGAGCGAATGCAACCAAGACATGTCATTTTTTTGTAATTTAAAATGATGATGAATACAACAAACAATGTCCAGTTCCTGCATTTCTGTTGGATTTTTGTTACTTTATCAGAATCACGTTTATTTCCAGGTACGTTAACACATACAAGGAATTTGCTTATTTGGTATCTGGTGGTGCGAACATAAACAAAAAAAATAAGTTTCAAAGTAGGTAAAAAAAGGAAATATATAAGGATAATAAAAAACAAGTATTTTTAAGAAACAATTTAGCATTAAAAAACAAAGTTAAATGTAACTATACAAATAACCTTAAAAGCTAAACAAATTAAAACACTTAGGACAACGAGTATATACGGCAAACTGCAGTGTATTATATCTTAAAGTGATTTGAGTTGTTTGAGCTTCACTGTGCAAAAAGATGAATGTGCAGACAGAAAGACATGAACAAACAGGATTTGCATATTCATAGATGCTTCAAAAGATGAATGGGGGTGAAGGAGTAAATGTAATTTGCAACTAGATAAAGGTGTGACATAAATATGACATCCTTTCACTGTTTCCTTATAAAGTGTCTATGGGGATCATTTAGTTTTAAAAGCTCAAATGATTGTCATAAAAATGTGAGGAATAGAAAGTGGGAAAATAAAAGCTCTGGGAATAAATGACAGCAGTTTAGCACTGACAATACGGACACTGTTATATTGAACATGAGCTCCATCACTTAATATGTGTGTTATTAAATATGTCCATGGGCATTTCTTTGTATTTTTGCTATGTATGAGGATACCAATTATGACAGACATTATTCATAATTGGGGCAATCAGAACACCCATTCATGTGCATCTACTCATTCCAAATTGTTATTTTAACCTGAAATGCTTGTTTATAATTTGGGTGACTATTGTCTGGAAATATGGGAGAAATGGGAGAAAATGTCAGCTCCTTTTATTCACACACTACCACAATGTATTCCAAACTTTCTCTCCCTCCTGTCATGTGGCACTGTGCACAGATCAGCTCCACCTCCCCCTCTAACCTCTGTTGGTTCTGTGTAACGCCTCGTGGCGCTCTGAATCAGAGTCGAAGTAGGGCCGAAGTTATGAAACTCCCCCCTGTTGACATATTGGGTCAGCGGAGCATGAGTTCCAGCCTCATCGGGCTGAGTTTCAGTCTTCCTCCAGCAGCCAGTCAGCGGATCAGCCGGCCAGAAACAAGCAGCCTCCCAACTCCCTGACTGCCCCTGATGCGTGAACACAACATCGACACCAGCCCCCCCCCCCCCCCCCCCCGAGACTGGGAACAAGGTTCTTAGAAAGGTGGAAAACTGGGAGGCGTGTCAAGCTGTTTGCCCTCCGGTGAGGACATAGAAATGGAGATTGGAGCGGCAGTGTAGTGACGGGACAGCAGGAGGAGATTTGGGGGGGGTAAAGCGTACAATCCCCCTCAGTTAGGCTCACATTTCAGAGAGTTTAAGCACTGTGAAGCATGTACGGCTCATTTTTAACAAATGCACTCAACCATCTCCCTGCACTTTGAGCTGTATTACGTTTCGTCTGACGGGAATAAAGGAAGCTCTCTGAAGTCCATTACATTCAAGGCCATGAAAGAGCATTTCACAGAGTATGAGAGGTCTTTAACTCTTCATAAGTCTGCCATTGTTTCTGTCTGCCTTTCTGTCTCTTCAGCTGTGTGTAATGTGTTGCTTTCTTTTCCTTTATCCGTCTCTATAAATAAAGAATTCACAGTCTGATTAGTGTGTGTGTGTGTGTGTGTGTGTGTGTGTGTGTGTGTGTGTGTGTGTGTGTGTGTGTGTGTAGACTTACGTGAAGGGCTCCGTCTCATGTACGTCCAAGGCGGCTCCACGTATCCTCCCCTCCTTTAACGCCTGGGCCAGAGCCTTCTCATCCACTAGGCCCCCCCGCGCAGTGTTCACCAAGAATGCACCCTGACGCATCTGCAGTGACACATACATCCAAACAAATTAACTCAGACATAAAGCCGGTTATTTACAGAAACATTTCAAGAATTGGCTGTTTTTAAATGTCTGTCAGCCCAGCAGTAATCTGTCTGATCTAAAGCAGGACATCAATCTGGATTGGATGCCTGCATTTAAGGGTCTTTACAGATATTACATTGGATATAAATTGAGAAGGAAAACGAAATCTGTGACACCTTTGTTGTGCCTGACACTTAAAAGATCTAGGAGACAGACAGCAGCTGGGAAAATACTGTCAGATGTGGGATAGAGAGCAGCCTTTATCCGAAAGCAATAGATGAAATGAAGGATGAGGGGTGAGCTGGAAGATGAAGCAGCACCACCACCCCTCTCTGCTTGTGGGGGTAAAAAAGAAAAAGGCACAACAAAAAGTGTAAAAAAATCAAATGAATATGCTTAGAAGAAAGTAATCCCTTAATCTTGACAAAAGCTGAAATCCAGGGGCATGAAAAGCCTTTACGTTGGCAGGCAGTCTTTTATTAGGCATTGGTGGGTTTTGACACACACAGAAACACACAAACATGTATACACACACACGTTTCCACATTATAAGCTGGGAGCGACTGCCAAGATTTTTGGTGAGGGGAAGAGGGGAAAGTGTTCTTTCATTGCAGCACTTAGAGGCAGCTGAGAATCATAAGCTTTGAAAAAGACACACGGTTAGCTAGGTTAGGCTATTACCCCACAGCCACTCCTCGCATGCTGCAACTCACAGAACTGCAGGAAGAATGGCCCCCGAGAGGCGAAGCAAAGAGAAATCACAGTGAGAGGTGACACTGGGAGAAGTTGACAGAAGGGAGATACTTCTTCTCCAACAGTTCCCCGGCTCCCCTGCAGGTGTCGCCCCGGGCAACGCTTCGGAGTGCAGATATTGACTCAGAGAACAGCCCTGTCCCCTCGCAGAGCTCTTACCCCCCGCTGTGCAGTCTAGTCGATATATTTACTGTAGCCGTGGGCTGGCGCTAATTGCATTTGACAGAGCAAAGGAATGAATTTGTGTCCAGCTTTGGTGGAGCTTAAGATAAAGAGCAGGGAATGTGCAGGCAGGAAGGCTTTTCCCTCTCTTCCCCCGTCTCTCTTTCTACCGGCTATAATGCTCTTTAGGACAGCCTGCAGCCTGACGGAGTAATAATACACCAGCAGCTCTGCTTGTCTACCTGAGATACAGCACCGCATTAAGCCCAGGTCAGGTCACAGCTGTGCAGTGGGGCGTTGGACATGTGTGCATGCCAGAGGTGGGAAGTAGTGGAGTACAAATACTTCGTTACTGTACTTAAGTACATTTTTCTGGTATCAGTACTTTACTCCAGTACTTATTTTTCTGACGACTTTTTACTTCTTACATTTTTAACACAAATACCTCGACTTTCTACTTCTTACATTTTCCAAACCGGTTTGTTACTTTAGTTTTAATCTGCGTTTGGTGGCGTGATTGTTATTATTTAGAGTCATTGCGTGCCTATTGATTTGAACACGATCCGTGTATCCTTCATTTCCTGGTCTTCTCTAAAGAAGAGGGACCAATGAAAACGTTGTCATTTTGCCGTTGTTCAGCATCGAAACATTCATTAGCTAACAATGACATTATTGTTCTATTTATATAAAGTGAGGTCAGTTACTCTTTAAAACTGATAGTAGTTATGGGTACTTTTTACTTAAGTACATTTCGAAGCCCATGCTTCTTTACTTTTACTTGAGTAAAGACGTTGAGTCAGTACTTCTACCAGAGTATTTTTAAACACGAGTATCTGTTCTTCTACTTGAGTTAAGGATGTGTGTACTTTTGCCATCTCTGGGGTGTGCTAACGACGTACCTGTTTGATGGTGAAGTCGTTGATGAGGTGGTGGTTGTGCTCGTTCAGGTTGCAGTGCAGGGACACGCAGTCGCTCTGGTACAGCAGATCCTGCAGGGTGTAGACGCGCTGCACCCCCAGGGAGCGCTCCAGCCCGTCCTGCAGGTACGGGTCGTAGAACAGCACGTTGAAGCCGAAGACTTTGGCCCGCACCGCCACCGCCTGGCCCGAACGACCTGAGGACACACAGGGGGGGGTTATTCATATATACAGAAGCATTTGTATTCAATTAACATTTCAGATGAAGAGATTAGATGACGTTATTAGCCAGAACAGAGATCTCAACCTTCCTTGACCAGCTGCATTTAGTATGACTATTACTAAAACCATTATGATTTTAACTGGCATATTTACTTTATTATGAGTAAAGTAATAATGTCCCTCGTAAATAAACCAATAAGTACAAATAAATGTATGATTCTATTCTCCCTTTTTGAGGAAATGTATTTGTTGATAGTCTGTTCTTCACATGATCATAATGATCACTAAACAATGCTCTCAACATCATTTATTTTAAATACATAATGATCATGAAAGAGAACAACTATTAACCAAAAAGACAATTTAACTTTAGAAAAAGTGTCAATCTTTATCAATGACCTCATCTGGTCAACATAAAACAATAAAGTTTTCCATTGCAAAAATAACTTTTGATATTCCATTTCCATTTGATTGATTGCTGTGCTCGGACATCCTGTTCGACATAAATTATATCCAAGTAGAGAGACTATTAGAAATAATGAGGGATTTTTTGTTGGAAAGAAAATGATTAATGAGCGATGAGTGCTGAGTGGTGGAATCAAGATGGAGAAATATCATTAGCATTTTGAGTTTCCAGCTTTAGCTGCGTTTATCGTTTTATTTAGTTAGCAGTAGCGTGGCTCAGCCTAATAATATCATTGTTATTTACTGCTCCTAGTGCTAGACTCCTAGCACTAGGATGGGTTAGATGCAGAGAACAATCTTCACTGTGTGTGCTGTGTGCTCAGCATGTGTGGCCATTAAAGATGATTTCATCCCTCCCAATATTATATTATTGCTACTTTTAAGCACTGGCCATGGTTACTACTGTAACTACGGTTCTATTCCGCGTAGGCACTGGCCATGGTTACTACTGTAACTACGGTTCTATGCCGTGCTGTTGTCTTCTTTAGAAGCTAATTATCTGGTCTTAACATTTGTGTTATTTGACTTGGACTTGCTTGGCGCTCCCGCTCCCGGTAACGTATTGTTTTGATTGTTAGCAGCAGCCGCTTGGCTAACATCTTGCATGTTCTGTTGAGCTTCATTGTGTAACTCAGCTGGTGAAGGCAGTGCTCTCACTCCCGCTCCCGGTAGAGTATTGCTTTGTGTTCGGCGAGTAGGAGCACTGCTCTACTCTTTCCGTTCAGCAGGTAGCTGGTGAAGGCTGTGTTCTCGCTCCCGATTACGCTGCATCTGGTTACCTACATAATGGCTCATTCATGTAGCGCCTGTATGGCTTCTCTTGAGCCCGAGGACGGCCATGACCGCTGCCCCTCTTGCCTTGGCGAGCATTTAAGAGAGGGTCTCACACAAAGCACCTGCATGAACTGTAGCTTCATGCCTCGGGCGCTCAGAGTGGCTAGAGTCGCAGAGGTCTAGCATCTGGCAGCAGCCAACGGATTGGGTCTAACAGTAACGGTCAACGGTCACAGACGAACTGCTCTGTGAGGCCTACGACACAGCAGCACGCATGGGTCGTAACGGGAACTCCCTCTCCCATCTGATGCTGGCTGTCTCTACCTCTCTGCAACAGGCTCCGGCCGAGCCTTCTTTGCTGGGCCTCAGTGATGCATCACTGCAAGCCTTTGCCCTAATGTCTAGGGAATTGGGACGAGTTATGTCCTTATTGGTCCAGACTCGTCGCCAGGTTTGGCTTGCTCAGTCACCACTGTCGGAGACATGTTCTCCGTAGTGTGCCAGTTGAGCTGTTTGGAGACACTGGACCATTCTGCCCAAGCTAGGCGGACCAGACAGCAGCTCTCGGGTCTTCAATGGCCTGTGCCCACTCCCAGCAGGCCCCTCTAGCAGCCGCACTCATCCACCAACTTACAGTGGTGGTCTGCGGAGGTCCCAGCGGCCCACTCAACCGCCTCCCGGTGGCTTTCGTGCCCCCCGGTCGCCGGCCTTCTAGAAAGCCTCGTGCCTCAGAGCCTTACCGGCGCCCCCCAAGGCCCGAAGTCTCGGGGCTGGCCGTCGGCTGCTTTCCCCAGCAGCAGCTCAGTTACTGGGCTGCCTGTACTTCCAACCCTTGGGTGGTTCCACCTTAACCCAGGGGTACGAACTGCAGTTCCGGCCCCTAGTCTTCGGCCGGGTCAAAATGACAGTTGTCAGCGATCCGGCGAAAGGCTTTAGCTCTGGCCCAAGAGTTGTCTGTCCTCTTGGCCAAGGGCGCAATTGAGCTAGTAGACCCTCTGCTCAGCCCAGGGGGTTCTACTCGGCGTACTTTCTCGTGAGCAAGAAAGCCGGCAGATTTCGTCTGATCTTGGACCTCAGAGGAATCAACAGATTCCTGAAGGTGCTGCCATTCCATATGCTGACCACAGCACATGCACATGGGGAGTGATTCGCAACCGTGGACTTGAGGGCATGCCTACTTCCACGTGCAGGTTGCATCTCACCACCGGAAGTTCTTGAGGTTTGCCTTTCAGGGCAGACACTATCAGTTCCGGGTGCTTCCCTTTGGTCTCTCCCTCTCTCCAAGGATGTTCACCAGAGTCGTGGCGGCATCTCTCGCATCACTGCGGGCGCAAGGCGTGAAGGTTCTGCCGTATTTAGACGATTGGCTGGTTTCGCCTTTTATCTCACGTAGCACGGTTTGGTCTAACAGTAACACCGGGAAGAGTTGCCTGGACCCTTCCCAACAGGTCACTTACCTGGGGATGGTCCTAGATTCGGCCGCCATGTCATCTCGTCATCTCGTCGTGTGGACGAAATGTTCCACCTTCTTTTTACATTACATTACATTGCATCTAGCTGACACTTTTATCCAAAGCAACTTACAATAAGTGCATTCGACAAAGAAGATACAAACTAGAAGAAAACATAATCATATAAGTACATCAGGATTCATAGAGCCAAAACATTTCAAGTGCTACTCAACTGGCTTTAGATAAGCCAGTCCTTTGTTAGTATACAAGTGCTTTGTTAGTAATTCTATCACCAGCCATCTTCAGGCTGGGCAAGATGGTGCCTTACATTCAGTTCCACCGGCTCTTGGGCGGACTGACGGCTGCCTCAGCCGTTTTGCCCTTAGGTCTGCTGTCGCTGCACCCCATGCAAATGTGGCTGAACAGCCTTCACTTGGACGCCAAGTGGCACAGGCACAGAAGAGTCAGGGTGTCTCAGCGGTGCCTCTACTCTCTGTCCCGCTGGAGGGACAGGGCCTATCTTTTGATGGGCGCCATCCCATCCCGCCGGGAGTCTGTCACTGCAGATGCATGTCTCTCAGGGTGGGGTGCAGTGTGGCAGGGCAGGACTGTTCAGGGTCAGTGGTCTTCCCAGGAGGGTGCACGCCATGTCAACGTGCTAGAGCTTTGGGCTTACGCACTTTTTACCCCAATTGGGGGGCAAGCATGTGCTTGTTCCTTCGGACAACATGCCCACTGTTGCCCAGACTGCAGTCCCTTCTAGATAGTGGACGTTCTCACTCCACTTTGAGAGTTTAGGTGGCTGCTATTCCTGCCCGACATGTTCGGGTCGACGGCGCCACGGTGGGGTGCCACAGGTCGGTGTCCCTCTTCCTGAGAGGGGCTTTACGGCAGCGTCCCCCTAGCACTCCGAGGGCTCCGGCTCGGGACCTGCTGCTGGATGCCCTATCATCTCCTCCCTTCAAGCCCCTGGCCCAGGTGGGGCTTAAGTGGCTGTCCACAAAGGCAGCATTTATGCTTGCCATAACCTCAGGGAAGCGAGTTGGGGAGTTGCATGCCCTCTCCGTGAGCGATACAGGCCTGAGGTGGGACTCTCAGATGTTGCCCTTTGGGCAAATGTGGCGTTCCTGCCAAGGTGCTTCCACAAACCCACTTCAAATCAGCCTCTCCAGCTGGCACACTTTGACATTCAGGAGAACGGCACATCAGAGTTGCTGTGCCCTGTGGGTGCCCTAAGGACGTATATCGATGCTACTGCCTGTATACGGCGGTCGGAGCAGCTCTTCGTTTGCCATGGCGGCACTAAAAGAGGTTGTGCCCTCTAAACAGCGGCTGCCCCACTGGGTTGTCGATACCATCCCTATGGGGCCAGTGGCCGCCCCCTGCCATCAGGGCTGAGATGCCACTCTACAAGGAGCATCTCAACATTACATGTCACTTGTTACTTGTAATGTAACATCTTGGGCTGCCCTGAGAGGGGTGCCCCTGGAGACCATCTGCACCGCGGCGTCGTGGGCGTCTTCTGGCACCCCCGGGAGGAATTTTTTTTTTAAATGTTGAAGTTAAATGCATCAATCTGGTGCACTTTGAGCACAATATGAATTTATGGATACAGCTCTCAGTCTCAATTCTCATATGAAAGGGAGCTGTATACTTTTCAATAATCCAAAAATCTTTAGAATATGATCACAACCAATAACAAATCATTTAAACTTGTTTATTCTTATCTTATGTTAGCATTCTTTCTTTTTATTTATGTATATTTTACTTATCACTCCCCTTTTAAACTGTTTTTTTCTTTTTTTTTTTACTGTCCTATAGTACACATTGGAATGATTTCTTACTTTATTTTTGACAATTATATTAAATAGATAAAGGTGTGCTCTCTCTAGCTCTCTAGCTCTCTCGCTCTCTCATAGAGGCTGTGTGCTCCTCCATGGCGATGACGGCTTGCGTTAAAAAACAATAATAAACATATTTGTAAAGTGGGGGGACACAAACGGGATTTCGAAAAGTGGGGGGGACATGTCTCCCCTGTCCCCAGTGGAAATTACGCCATGCGTATGTGTGCGTCAAGTGCAATAAATATATGCAAGTTGCAACACACACACAGTGAAACTATGCCCCTCATGTGCTGTATAGGCTGGCATGACTAGGCTGTTCAATGGGGCTGATGTGCCAGAAGGAGAATCACGGTCAAACTCCTTATGAAGCAGTGAGGTGCCGCTCCACGTTGCTTTTCTTCCCGACTGCAACGCTGGTCCCGCAAATCAAGCAAGAACGTGATTGGTCGATATTCATTGTGGGGGAGGAGGGGTGTTAGATAGATATAGAGTTGTAGTAAGTAGATAGGGTTCGCTATGATTGAGGTTTCGTTTATGCATAGGGTAGATTCCTTAATTACATTTCCTTTTTTTTGGGTGTATTTTTCACATTTTGGATTTGCTTGGCGAGCTACTTTTTGAGGGCTTGCGAGCTACCGGTAGCTCGCGATCGACGTATTGGAGACCCCTGGTGTAGGGGTAGGGCTTGGTTTGGGATTGGGCCTCAGAGTGTGTAGTTTAAAGCCTCTTCTCTGTCCTCTGTCTCACGGCCGGTTGGTGTGTAGGCTGAGCATGATGCATGAGGTTTGGAGGTTGTTACTGGTGAAAAGGATTGAGAAGGCCCTCCAAAGTCCTCTCTTTGTGATTATTATGTTCTGCTCTGAGGCTCCAGGAGAATCAGAGTGAGACTTAAGAGACTGCAGCATAGACTCCTTATAACACTGAAGCAATCACTCAGTCTCTGCGTTTCCATGATGCTGATGGATTACAATCAACCTTATGATTGCCATACAAATCAACCTTCTTGAAAGTACTTCATCTTTTGTTTTTTGCTTCACTTTTTACAAATTATTCCCTTTATTTCAAAGATATTTTGACGCACGGAGCAAAAGCAATGCAGCTGCTTGTTGTCAGTGCAGATTAAAAAAGTGATAGAGATATCAGCAGCATGGGAATTTGTTTGAAACGATCCTCACCGACTTGTGGCTGCAGAACAATCTGATTTACAAAAGCTGCTAGGGTGGGATCTTAGTTTCTTCTAGAAAGTAATTATTCTCCTGCCTGCAAGATTGTAGGAAAAATGCTGCAAAGTGGCGTATTTAGAGGGAAATTGCATCATTTGGCTAAACCAGCTGTTTACAATTTATGTTTTCTTTATCTCTAAATATCCCAAATTATGTTCTGTAGCTCTCGAAACTAATAAGAAAACATTGACAATATTTGTGTTGAATTGTACTTTCCTTTATTTTGTTTCATGGTGTAAATATATTGGTAAAGCAAAACATTCCTACAATATTGTTCTAATATACAGTGGGGCAAAAAAGTATTTAGTCAGCCACCAATTGTGCAAGTTCTCCCACTTAAAAAGATGAGAGAGGCCTGTAATTTTCATCCTAGGTACACTTCAACTATGAGAGACAGAATGGGGGGAAAGAATCCAGGAAATCACATTGTAGGATTTTTAATGAATTAATTGGTAAATTCCTCGGTAAAATAAGTATTTGGTCACCTACAAACAAACAAGATTTCTGGCTCTCACAGACCTGTAACTTCTTCTTTAAGAGCCTCCTCTGTCCTCCACTTGTTAACTGTATTAATGGCACCTCTTTGAACTCGTTATCAGTATAAAAGACACCTGTCCACAACCTCAAACAGTCACACTCCAAACTCCACTATGGCCAAGACCAAAGAGCTGTCAAAGGACACCAGAAACAAAATTGTAGACCTGCACCAGGCTGGGAAGACTGAATCTGCAATAGGTTAGCAGCTTGGTGTGAAGAAATCAACTGTGGGAGCCATTATTAGAACATGGAAGACATACAAGACCACTGATAATCTCCCTCCATCTGGGGCACCACGCAAGATCTCACCCCGTGGGGTCAAAATGATCACAAGAACGGTGAGCAAAAATCCCAGAACCACACGGGGGGACCTAGTCAATGACCTGCAGAGAGCTGGGACCAAAGTAACAAAGGCTACCATCAGTAACACACTACGCCGCCAGGGACTCAAATCCTGCAGTGCCAGACGTGTCCCCCTGCTTAAGCCAGTACATGTCCAGGCCCGTCTGAAGTTTGCTAGAGAGCATTTAGATGATCTAGAAGAGGATTGGGAGAATGTCATATGGTCAGATGAAACCAAAATAGAACTTTTTGGTAAAAACTCAACTAGATGTGTTTGGAGGAGAAAGAATGCTGAGTTGCATCCAAAGAACACCATACCTACTGTGAAACATGGGGGTGGAAACATCATGCTTTGGGGCTGTTTTTCTGCAAAGGGACCAGGACGACTGATCCGTGTAAAGGAAAGAATGAATGGGGCCATGTATCGTGAGATTTTGAGTAACAACCTCCTTCCATCAGCAAGGGCATTGAAGATGAAACGTGGCTGGGTCTTTCAGCATGACAATGATCCCAAACACACCGCCCGGGCAACGAAGGAGTGGCTTCGTAAGAAGCATTTTAAGGTCCTGGAGTGGCCTAGCCAGTCTCCAGATCTCAACCCCATAGAAAATCTTTGGAGGGAGTTGAAAGTCCGTGTTGCCCAGCGACAGCCCCAAAACATCACTGCTCTAGAGGAGATCTGCACGGAGGAATGGGCCAAAATACCAGCAACAGTGTGTGAAAACCTTGTGAAGACTTACAGAAAACGTTTGACCTCTGTCATTGCCAACAAAGGGTATATAACAAAGTATTGAGATGAACTTTTGTTATTGACCAAATGCTTATTTTCCACCATCGTTTACAAATAAATTCTTTAAAAATCAGACAGTGATTTTCTGGATTTTTTTTTCTCATTCTGTCTCTCATAGTTGAGGTATACATAGGATGAAAATTACAGGCCTCTCATCTTTTTAAGTGGGAGAACTTGCACAATTGGTGGCTGACTAAATACTTCTTTGCCCCACTGTATATATATTTGATAAAAAATAAGAAATATTTGTTAATCTCTATATCGCCCATAGGGATGTCATTATACCAGTGATGTTTGATAAACACGTTTCATTGGGCCAATCGAATGGCTCGTTACAATGGTCCAATCAAATAGCTCTTTTCAAAACTTTTTTTTGGGGTGTTTGCAGTCTCAGTTTGACTGTATGTGCGGAAAAATACAAACATCACCAAACATCGCCTTTGCTCTCCACCTCCTGCTTACAATGGACATTGTTTTGGAGACCGCTTGAAAAGACCGGGAGAGGAGGCTGTAAGTGGAAGATTCAGGGAGGAAAAGACACAAGGGGGGGCGGGTATTCTCCCTGCCAGGACCTGCTATTTGGGCACAGTAAGTCTAGGACGCTGTCTGGGGCCTGTAAGGGGGGAGGAGGCAGTTTGTGTGTGTGTGTGTGTGTGTGTGTGTGTGTGTGTGTGTGTGTGTGTGTGTGTGTGTGTGTGTGTGTGTGTGTGTGGAGTGCATGTGGACACAGAGATAAGGTGGCACTTTGGAAAGGCTTTTGAGAAGACAAAGCATCTGTCGGCACACTAATGTTGGGACAGGCTGGAATGATGCACAAACACACAACAATTGGCTTTAAAAACAGGTGCAGGGAGAAAAAGAGGACACAATAAAAAAAATACACAGGCAGAATCCAGACTACCATGAGGGGCCTGATTATGGCAGGGCAAGATGTTGAGGGACCGTGGTGACAGAGAAGAAGAGCGGAAAAACAGAAGAAGAGAGAATAATGAGATATAATGGTGGGCATTAGAGTGGTGGGATGAGAGAACTGTGTGGCAGAGAGAAGGAAAGCCAGCCCGGAGGGAGGCCAAACAGACAACCTTGAGATAATCTGTGGGACGGGCAGAGGGAGGAAAATAACCTTATCAGGGCAGGAAAACAGAAGGCACTCTGAGCGGTGAGAGGATATGAAAACACAGTGAAGGGCAGGGGAAGGGAGTGGGAAAAATCACAAAGGAAATAAAGTGAAAAAACAGCAGAAATTACACTAACCGAAGCCGATGAGGCCGAGGGTTTCGCCACGGATACGGGCGGCGCCGGACGCCACCTCGCGGATCTGCTCCACACTCTGGACCCGCGTGCCCTCCCGGAGAGCCTGGTAGAGCCAGGTGTTTCGCCGGTACAGGTTGAGGATGTGGCATAGGGTGGAGTCTGCCGTCTCCTCCACAGCTGCCGAGGGAATGTTACACACAGCAATGCCTGGACAAAGAACAACACACACAAAGCAGAACAGTTACAAATGAGTGAAAAAATCCGTAAAATCCATATCAATTTTAATAACTGCAGTGTTTCACCAATAATATCCTGCATCATATTTGTTACTGGAAATTATATATATATTTTTTTTTTACTTTTTAATTGCTATTTTATTTTTTATTTTTTATTTTTATGCTGCTGCAACGCAAACATTTCCCATATTGGGATCAATAAAGTACTAATCTATCTATCAATAGAGAATGTGAGAATAATATCAGTCATTTCAGGTCAGTAAGATAAAGATGGAACATACATATACATTTGATTACCTCCACTTCTACATAGAAGCATCACATTGAGTGAATTATTCCTGAGCAAACTTTTGTGCACACGCATAATAAAGCAAGTTGTAGACATTTTGTCAAGATCTCCTCCAGTAGAACACTCATAACTTTGTTAGAATATTCAAACTTCTGACCCTGTGGTATTACCTTGCCTATCCTCCAGCTACACAAAGATTTCCATTAACGACACTTAAGCACTTGTGCCTGCCCTTGCTCTCCTCTAATGTCCTCATCCCACTCTGTATCTCAGAGTAACAGCACAGCCGTCTATGGACTGGGAGAAATAGCAAGAGCAATCAATGACCCTTTTTCTTCTCCCTGAGAACAGCCGCCATATCAGCGACGCCTTCTCCAGGCACGATAGCTTTTGACTCCTGCGTTGCGAGGCAGAGCGCCTTCGGTGAGTGGGTGGCAGTTAGACACAGTATCTGGTATTGGCAGGAAAATGGCAGCTTTGTCAACTGTAAGGGCTATTTGAGCCACCAGCCTGCTGATGTAAGCCTGGGTGGGGGTACAGAGAGAAGACTCAACTCTCCACTCGCAGCGTGCCTCTGCCTTTCTGTCTCTTTGAACATTCTGGCTCACAGTGGGATGTCCATAATCCATTTAAAGGAAGAAACAGTAAACCTGCTGTCCACATCCATGGAACAGTTATACATACAGCACGAGAGACAATGTAAATCGAATCCCTTAAAAAGGTCTCCTATCATGCAAAATGCACTTTTCGATGTCTTTTATACATAAATGTGGGTCCCCGGTGTGTCAGGGAACTCACAAAGTGTCAGAAAACACAACCCTCTCTCTTTTCCTCCGTATCCAAACCGATGGAAGGGTGTCCGGTGTCTTGCTCAAGGGCACGGCAGGGCAGGAGGTGAACTGGGACCTCTCCAAGTAGCAGTCCACACTCCATATTTAGGTCTGGTCGGGGACTTGAACCGGCGACCCTACGGCTCACAGTCCAATCCCCAACGGAGCTCATCCAGATTTGCTGCCGATATTACGTAATATCTGACATGTGGGCTGGCTTTACGCCCGCGGCCCTATCAGGTACGTCGCTATGAAACAATGCGCGACGTGTTTTGGACTTAATAGTCTTTGTTTACATCTTTTTTTTTGTTTAAAGCTTTAGACCCATAATCAGCATTTCTCTAACAGGGCTGAAATAGAGGGATATGAGGGATGTCTAAAATGCATGATCTCTTTGGTATTTTGAGCAAAACACATCATTGACATGTTTTTTATATATTTGTATATATATCAGAGTCCCATAATATATGCCTAAAAATAGCATGATAGGAGATCTTTAAAGTGACTGTTTCTACTCTTTAATCTAGACACATAAAACTGCATAAAAACACCACGCATATGAGTTGAGTTATGAGTTGGCAGTGACAGCGGAAGGTTCGTACCCAGCTCTCCGGCAGCCTTGATGTCGATGTTGTCGTAGCCGCTTCCGATGCGGATGATGATACGTAGGGCTTTGAACTTTTCCAGGTCCTCTCTGGTCAGGGTGATGGTGTGGTACATCATGGCTCCCACTGCTTCGTTGAGCACCTGCAGACACACGTTCAAACATTTTTACAAATGAACAACTCAACCAAAATAACCCGGATCGTTGTTTTGGCTAATTGAATGAACATGATTTAGTACGATATTGTTCAAAATGCGTGCTCTGCTCATGGAATTTTTACTACGTATCAAATCAAAAGATTCTTAAACCCAGCCGTAATATAATTTACGACAGAGAGCAGACGAGCAATATTAAAATGCTCTGAATTCAGGAGAAGAAGAAGATTTAAAGTCTTATTTTGATGAGAAGACATGTTGATTACCAGGCATGTGTGCACAGCATGAAAGTGGAAACAGTGCTCTGTTGATTTCATTATGGGCAAAATGTGATTTTTACATTTTCATTTAGAATTTTCTTCTAGGAGATGCACTGTGAATAAACGGCAGCTTTATTTGGATGGAAATATGTTTACATTATCAGGAAAATAGCACAACATGGAAGTTAAAGCTATGTCTATTTAAATGTGCACCTAAAATGAATGAATAATTGTGAAACGTGATCTAAATTGATATCTTGACTATCAAATTAGCCATAATGGTGACACCCTAAAAACGGTGTGAGATTTTTTTCGTTTAATTTATCTTTTCTTTTGATGATCATTATGTCCATTCATTCAATAATGCATCCCATGCATACAACATGGCTATTAGTCCATTTGAGTTCATGGGATCTCATGAGAATCACAAGATCACATTCCTTCCAGAGGAGCCATGAAAATCACATCTGCCATGACTCCGGACACTTAAGGAAACGTTTAAGATTTCACAGTGAGGGGAAGTACATACATCACATGGTCGCCAGCCGCATTGAAACACTGTCCTTTTACAGACCTGCGCTGAGCTGGAACAAGTAATTATATTATATCGGAGAGGCTGCTGTTTCCGCATGGTCATCACAATTACCCTCAGACCCCGAGGGTGTTTGTGGACAAAGGATGGGGGCAATTGTCTGGACAGAGAGGTCAGGGCAGCTGCTGATAAGTGGATAAACCGTAAGAGATGATCGCATGTGATAGGTCAAAAAAGAACTGGACTCAGAAGACCATTTGACCCAATAATAATTTCTCTGCACTGCATTTTTGTTCTTCACGTTTTTTCTTAATTTATGACAGAATCTAAAATCAAAAACGTGATATATTTTTCATGTACAGTATATGTTTACGTAGCTAAATAAATAACCACACGGTGGTGCTGTCGAGTCCAAAGATCGAAATCTAATCACTCGTTCCTTGTCAATCACAAACTATCGTCGAAATTGTACGTTTTGGAATTCTTCTGCAAAAAAACAACCATAGAAAAACCCTTTTTGGTTTTGTAAATAACTCAAATTTCGCTTCGCGATCCAACAAGGGTCAGCATTTGGTCCCCTCTGAAGGACGTCGCTGTGAAATGCTGCTCCTCGGCAAATTGACATGGACAAGGTGACCTGGCCTGTGATTCAGTGTGATGTGGATCTAAACTATTCCCCCTGAGTATTAGCCACAGCCCCTGTCAGCGCCTAAATAACTGCTCTACATTCACCTCCAGCCAAACTGCATTAGCTTTCCTGTGATTAGCAGATTAGCTCGGAATTTCCATACCGTTTTATTAGAGCAGTTTCCCGGACAGGCCTTCTAGATGCTAGGTCAAGGTTAAAACACATAAGCATGCACCAGCAGTCAAGAGGAACGCACACACGACCCCAAGTTGTTTTTCAGCGGAAGAAGCTTTTAAAGTTAGTCATAAAGCTTTTTTTCAAGGAAATCTACTCTAAAAGTAGTTTAGTTTAATGGAAACTCTGACCCAATCCATATCCTCCTCTCCAGTGTAACCAAAGCCTTATTGCGTTTTAACGTCTTTCATTTCCAAAGATGCTTTTCTGACATGGCAGCGAGGCTTCTCTTTCTGGCTCGGGGGAGCGTGAGAGACTGTTGCAAGAGAGTTAGGATTTTGTGATACGGAAACTGTACATTTTGTGTGTCTGTATGTTGGTCTCAGTGGTTTACTGGGGAGGGATTGTATTGCCATGAGGTCATCCCTCTAGCGAACAGTGTGTGTAGTGTGGATGAGAGCTGGTTGTAATTCTGAGGACAGACTTTTTCCACCTGGCAGGGAAAATGTGCTGTTGAAAATGTTTGTTTTTGTTCAGCTCTTGGCACTTCTCAAAGGGCAACATGGCTGTGATAACAGCACTAACCATTACAGAGAAAGCACTACAGAACAATATTGCACTATAAATGTTGAGTATGTTCTGAAGAGAAAGCTGTGATCCTTTATTGATTGCGCATTTTAATGCACTTCAGCAGCAGTGAAGCAGAGATGTGAGTAAAGGGAGATGACGATGTTGATTATGTTTAGAAAACGATGTTCTGTGTGAATAAAGCACAGTAAAACCTCAATAAATGAAATAAAAACATCTGTGCACTCTAGTAAACATAGATTTTAAATAATAGGTTGACAGGTAAGCTGTTCCCCGAGTTATATTTCTTTTATAGACAAAGCCCCTTTCGATTTCATTATGTACGTAACCAGTCATTAAGTGCAGCCCTAATCTTAAAACCACAATTGGATGAACAGTCAGGCAGCGTACGATGTGGTAGGTGAGTCTGACAATATGCCAGATGGGCTATCATCCAGCTTTTACAATCCACATGAGACAGTGAGACACGACAACTGGGAGAACGTGAGATGTTTGAGCGCAGGTGCTGCATGCAGGATTTGTTCTCGGTAAAGTTGTATTGAAATGTGATCTCGATCAGTATTCGGCTGTGTGTTTCATCATGCTCCTATCAACCGAAAAATAAGGGATTACTGGGTAGTGGACCTGACACGACCTCGGGACACTTTCATATTCCACCTCTTGACAAGCCTTTCCCATGAGTTTCACTATATGCTGGTGTGGATGGAGGAGAGAGTGGCAGCTGGTGTCTGGCCTGAAAGCATCCTACTGAAACTCTGTGAATTATCAGCGCTGTATCTCCGCATCCGTGCCGCAGAAAGAAGAGATTGGACATTTTCAATCTACACCACCCCCTCTGGGTATCTAGACTGCAAGTTATTACTGGGAACTGCTGAATATGCTGGCGAGGTGAACATTACAATCATGTTTTTCCTGATAAGGCAGTGTTAAAACAAACAAAAAGCTCCCTGCTCCCCCTTTCTCCTCACCGCCCAAGGTCTTTGATTGAATTGATCTCTATGCAAATGCTTCGTTTTTAATATGTCCCATTTTCATAAAAACATGGAGAGGAAAGACATAGCGGCTCTCACTCTGTCTGCAGATGGAGAGATAGCAGTACGGTGATACCCATCTCCTTGGCCATATATTGTTCCGCTGCAACGGGGCTGCGTGGAAAGCAATAAAGAGCCTCTACAAGCCAATGTAATTACACTGCATCCCGCCATACAAGACTCTCTATTAGAACAATGGCACTGATATAGGCATCACGCTCTGCGCCACAAAGTGACATTAAATCATAATGAAGCCCCTATATTTTAACTGGCAAGTGCGTCAGGGGCCAATGTACTTCACACATCCACGCTGTGATGGGAAAAGAAAGTGGGTGAGTGGCGGGCTTCACTTCTCCATCCACTTTGTGATGCGGAGCAGCATGAGAGTGTGTGGTGTGTGTGCTTTATACCTTCTCGTGTATTTCCTGTGTGGACTGAGCATCACAGAAGGCGACAGTCGCCAAGTCTTTCAGGATGGGCATCTCCACGGTGCAATCGCGCCCGTCCAGCAGCGCCACCAGGGGGCGCGGATGCATTGGCCCGTTCATGATTTGGGGCCGAATACCTGGAGAGAGGTGGAGGAGAGAAGGATGATTATTCAGGGTACAAGATAATAAAACAATAGTGCCTGCGAGACAATTGTTTCAGGAAAAAAGACCCTACTGTGGTTTGGTCAAAATCACTGATCATTGTGGTGCTGATGTTACTTTCAGGTTGGTTATTTCAAAACAATCTGCATGGCTAGACAACACTAGGTTAGAGTAATTAAATGTATACTTCACGAATGATACATCTTTTCTATTCATCATGATATGGTTAAGTTCTGACACATAATCATGTAGAGCAGGCATCCTCAAAGTCCGGACTCTGGTCCGGATCCGGACCGAACCACAACTGTCTCTGGACTCTGAGCAAATTATACTTTTCATATGTATCATATGTATCATCTGTATTATCTGTGTTATCTGCGAGACATCGCCACAACGCAACGAGTCAAAATGATCCGCTATGTCCATAGACTGCAAACAGCGCTCATGTCCTGTTCCACTGTCTGTGTGTGTCTGTCAACGCATTGGTCCAATCACATTTAGCATCCAGTCAGCGTTTTTTCCCCCCAAACAATCTGCGAATCAGAGGCACAGTAGGGCGGGTCTTCGCGGAATGCGGGTGGGAAAAATGTGTGTGTCTCTTTCAACCTGTCTAAGTCAGAGCGAGAGTTTAAAAAAAAAAAATTCAGAGCGAGAGTTAACAGCTCATCTAGTTCCATCTGTACTGTAGCTAGTAGCCTAGTTTCACCTACCGGGGTGGCAACTGACACCCTAAAAATAGGCCTTGCCACCCCAGCTGCCACCCCAGTTGGCAGCTTTGTTTTGAAAGAAAAGTTGTGGCTCATCGGACATTTATGAGAGAAAGTATCTAATGTGCAAGTGAATGCAGCACAAGATGCACGTCATGTAACCCCTCCCCCGGTCCTGGCGCGAGCGTGGACATACGATTGGCGGCGATTTCATTTTGAACTGGACGGCGCAAAACGAGAAGCTTTCGGACCCAAGCACTGAAGGAATGAGGTAGTTGCGGTCCACACTGACAGAGAAGAGACTGTCAGTTTGGCTGTACTCAGCATTGAATCAAAACGCACTAAAGCTGTTGATCTTAATAAGTTTGTGAGGCGTTTTGCTGAACAAAATGGTAATCGCCGCATTCAGCTGTAATAGACATGTCAACTTGATGCTCTGCTCACGGATGAGCATACAAAACTGTTAAGATGATGACCTTACGTGTGTAAATATATTTTTTTCTTTGAGGGGGTCTGCCCCCAAAAAACTGTTTTAAGTCCTGAGAAAGTCAAATAAGACGGTGTTTAAAACTACACTGCCCAGCCAAAAAAAAGTAACCACTTTGATTTAACTAGGCCAGTAGGTAAGGACTTTCCACTGGATAATAACTGCAGTATAAAAGAATGCATGACTGAAGTGATGGACACCATGTTGAAGGCAAACAAAAAGAGGAAATAACAGGTCAAATTAAGCAAATCCCCTCTCAGATTGCACAGCAACCAGAAGAACATAAATACTGGCTGGTGATTTGATTCATCAGCTTTGTGATGGAATAAAAAATGCACAGTGCATTTCCTTAGCTGTGGGTGAGTCCACTGACACCACTGACAATGCTCAGTTGCTGGTGTTTGTGAGTTTTTATGATGAGGCAAAGGGGGAGTTTGTTGAAGATGTGTTGGGCCTGATGAACCTCAGTGGACACACAAGGGGGAATACATTTATAAAGCAATAATGGGAATGCTGAATGAAAGAGGGTGCAGCTGCCTTTATTCATAACTGTGCTGCTCTTACACTGCGACTCTGAGGGGTCGAGCACAGACACAATAACAATGAAAACGGCTGCATACAGATTATTTTTGTTTTTGCAACCTCGTGTTAAGAATCTTGTTGCAATTGTTTAAAAGTTTGAATGACCGTAATAAACAGACCTTTGTCTTATTGAAACATTTATTTTGGACCTTTAAGATTTCTATTTGAGTACCCCTGATGTAGAGTATTAAAACAAGAGCCATGTTATATTATCAAACTAAAGATCAGCAACTTTGATCAGCTGGAGTGAACTGTTTTTAATCACTCTCATTCAGATGATCGAAACCTCTTGTGTGGACGTGTGTACACATGTGCTGATTAGGATAAAGCAGTAGGCAGGGCTTCTCCGAACTACCAAACGTTGCTCAATAAATCAATGCACCTACTCAAGACTGGATTAGACCATAGCCTCACTTACAGGAATCCTGTCGGTCTCACAGCTCCGAACACTTACATCACATACAGGCACCAGTGTGCAGGTTCACATACACACACTCAACATACCAAGATGGATATATTCCCATGTGTGTACACATGACACACTAACATGCACACACTTTGTTCTTATTCTCAGTTCAATGGAGAGAATCCCACATTTGAACCAGCAGCTGTGGAATAGAAGAAAAAGGGAAAAAACAGCGAGCTACACCTTTAGAAATGATTCACCGCTGCCCTGCCTCCAAAGAGCCGAGTATCATTGACAGCGCGAGAGAAACCGCTACATGCCTGAAACAAACCCACAGCCAACTCGCATCTGCACTTCAGATCACTTGACAAAGTCCGCGTCCCAATTCTGATTTCTATCTGCGCTCGACTCCAGCTCCTCCCCTCTCGCCACTTTTCACACTTAAAGCCAAGAGAGCCGAGAAGAGCCGCGCTCCCCTGTGGGCCGACCTTCTCACACGTGCTCGCTGAAGAAGTCGTGTCGCACTGAGGAGGCAGACAATTACGGGCACTGCTTCATACAATGTTAACATCTCTTGATAAGCAGGAGCATCAATATTCATGCGGCTTCTGAGCGACGCCAGCACGTGGACGGGTGAACTAAGGAGGAAAGCATGTGTACTACGCCCTAACACCACACAGATCTTCACTGCTATGGATATGTCCTAGCTGACAAAACAGGTCACTCCATAACAGACCTGAACAAGCAAGATCCCTGTGGGTGTTTGTGTAGTTTCATGACATCACTTTTCTTATCTTGTGTTTTACTGCCCTTTTCTAATTTGCTGCTAAAATCAGCATCTGGATACTTAAGTGTGACCTCACTCTGTGCATGTGCGAGCGCAGGTGTGTGTGTGCATTTGTCTTGAAATTAACCCCATGATTACAATGACGTCAGATTCCAGGGGGGCGAGATAAGGGGGAGGGTGGAGGAAGGGAGAAGAGTGGAAGTGGAGGAAGGCTCATTAGTGACATGCTCAGTGGGATTACTGCAGTAGAGGAGGCTGATAAGGGCAGATAAAGGTGAGATTAGGAGATTTAACATTGACAAAATTGTGTGTGTGGCTGTTGCACAAGCCAGCTGAAACGCACAGTGGGGAGACAAAACAGGTGGGAAGGAGAGTGAAATAAAATTGTTTAAAAAAACATGCCTACAAATAATGCCTGTTAGCAGTGGCGGCGCCAGGGTATAGCTGGGGTAGGCTACAGCCATACCAAGAAATGGCTTAGCCCTACCTTAGCCCGACCATGAAAAAGTATGTTAAAGTAAGCATGTTGAGAACACGGATTGCGAAAATCTACCGGTCGTGTCCACAACACACAAACTGATCCTGCTGTAACAACAAGTGCACGTTACTGACGCAATATGGTTGAGACCATTCGGGCTTATGCTAGAGGCGTGCAAGGAATAGTCTAAGTAGTGGGGGAGTTTTATACACTAAAGGTGTGGAAATTCTCTCGCATTATAATATCAGCGCGGCCTCGGTCAGATCAAAATGCCTCCGAATGAAATTTGAATATGCTGCGTCATGCATTACTGATATGTCACGTTCACAGTGAAAAGTCCCCAAACTCGCGCCGAGTAAATTGCAGACAGACAGCAGAACTTCTAGGATTAATTGTATATTTCGGATGGATAGATTTGTTCTTAAACACCCTCGCATTGAGGTACAACAAGTCGAACAAGTGCCAGAGTCACACAACCCACCTGAAGAGGAGTCCAGCCAGCCAATCAGAGCAACGAAACGTTGAGTCTGCTGCGTCATGCATTACTGATACGTCACGTTCACAGTGAAAAGTCCCCAAACTCGCGCCGAGTAAATTGCAGACAGACAGCAGAACTTCTAGGATTAATTGTATATTTCGGATGGATAGATTTGTTCTTAAACGCCCTCGCATTGAGGTACAAGTCGAACAGGTGCCAGAGTCACACGACCCACCTGAAGAGTGAATAGTGAGTTTTGAATATATTTTGTAATAGTCATTTGGAAAAGTGTTTTGTATGACAATAGAGACACAGGCCACCTGTTGTGTGCTGTGTCAGTCTCTCTCTGTTTACCTGTGTGTCTCTCTCTCTGTCTCTCCCTCACTCTCTCCCTCTCCGTGTCAATTATATATGCCAACTTTTCTTGTTTCTGCCGCTGCGTAGCATGTTGTAACAACGTAAAATTAGCAGAATAGGCTATTGTATTGTTTAACTCACACCTGTTGCTCTCGATGTAATTTAGCTGATAAAAGGAGACTAATAAAAGCCTCACGCTTGGCGTTTCACTGTCAAGGGGGGCGATATAGCGTGTATGTAATTACATTACAAATACTGACTTGAGCCCCACCACTGTATGGGTTAGCCCTACCATAGATTACCCAACAAAAATACTCTGGCGCCGCCACTGCCTGTTAGCATTACGGAGCATTAAGAGGAGTGTGAGAGGAGAGCACGTCGACAACAGGAAAGAAGGACGCAGAGAGAGCAGTCCAGCCGGGGCAGTGGGGGGGGGGGGGGGGGTGTCTTCTCCATCTGCCTTCCTGCCTATTGTCATGGTGATCACTTAACAGGCCCTGACTGCCAGTTTTAATGCACTTTATTTTTGGCACTGCTGGCATCTGCGCCACAGAGTTGAGGTCTGAGGCACGCCCCCCCCCCCCCCAACACTCTCGGTGCAAAGGGCAGAGGTGATGTCTTCCCTCCCTACTGACAGACAGCCGCCTCCTCCCTCTCCCCCCTCCTCACCCACATCCCACCACCAACCTCCAT